AGATACCTAATTTACATTAGTGTAGTGAGTGACCCCCTCCAGAATTACAGGCTGCGACCGCGCCTGGCAGTGGTGCCGATTCTGACATTAATGATTCTCTAAACTTACACATAATTTAAGCTTCAATTTTTCCTTTCCATTCTGTATAGAGAATGACAAGGATGCACTGTTGTCAAATTTAAGTTTAGTTTTAGAGAATCGTGCTAGAATTTTTGAAGTTATACTTCTTTAGGCGCGTTATGAAAAAATGATGAGAGTGTTTTTAGATGCGCGCGCATCACTGTAACCCAAAAGTAACAGCATGAAGTTGGCCGCGGGCGCGTTATGAAAAAATCATGTGAGTGAAATTTCGAGATGCGCGCGCATCACTGTAACACAATAGTAATACCATGAAGTTGGCCGCGGGCGCGTTCTGAATGTTAGTGTCTATTAATGGTGGATTATTAACCACTAAGTGGTTAATCCACCATTATTAGACATCTGTTCGAAAGGTATTTTGAACGATCCACGGAGCTCCATAAGATGATCGCGTTGTCAAAAACAATGTTGGCACGCTCGTCGCCTCTGATCACTGTTTTCATATTTATAATATTTATCCACATGTTTCTAGTTTCTATATAGACACAACGTGTTTTAGTTACTTACAAGTGCTTATTACATATGGACTAATAACTTAAATTCAGTAGTGATTTTAATTGAATATTTTGAATATTTATTTAATTTTTCAAATTAAAACTGAACTTAATTAACTGTGTTAACTATCCTTTTCCAGTCCTTTTATTATTTTATTGTAATTATTAATTATTTGCATGCAATTAAAAAAAAAATTTAATGATGCTAAAGAAGTATAACTTCTCACGCGCGTACATAAGTTAGACGCATCCATTTTTGAATGGTGTCAACCATTGAAACATTAGAATACGACAATTCAAGATTGAAAGTATTGAAGACAAGGCTGTATGTATTTCGTTTCATTTGCTTTGCCTTAAAGCTTGGATATGAGAATTGAGCAAGAAATCTAGGCTGTATGGCGCATATTTATACTGGCTTTTGTATTTCTCATACTCTGAAAAAAATTAAACAAGAGGTTTTTGGCGGGATTTCATCGAGTGCGGTTGGCGTCTTATTTTAATTATTTTTAAATTCGTTCATAGTGGATATTGTGAAATAAAATTGGTGTGGTTTTGTGTAACAACCGTCTGCGTAACTGAAGAATTAGTGGAATCGTTAAAATATACGCTATTCCGGTCAAGTGGACGTAAGAATTTTATTGTAGTGTTGACTACCTCACAGAAGCTTATCGAAAAAGCCAACTCGATACATTTCGTGCTAAACACTCCAAGAAACATTAGAATGCGTCACACCGACATTCTAATGTAAAAACAAAAAGAAGATTAATTTAATTAAAGACTAGGCTGTATGGGCATTGTTCCCTTTGCCTTCCCTAAAACAGGAGAACTTTAACAAAAAAAAAATAAACAAATAAACAAAAATAGAGTTAGCCAAAACAAACGGATTGTTTAATTTTATTCGTTAAAAATTGACTGAATCTTTTTCTAATATGCCCGAACCTAAGAAAGTTGGAGTTTGGGCTGAAGGAACACACATAGAGGCAAAGTAAGAGACATTTTGTACAGTAATTATTCTATTTGGCTAATTACTAATTAATTTGTAAAATATACGCTTTTGTTTAGAGAATTCGTTATACCGAAGAAATCGCCAGATTCCAGCGATGATATACCGACCATACCTGATTTGGACGACTTGCAAGATATATTGGAGAAAGAGATTTCGATGCCGCCTCCAATGTGAGTGAAAGATATTTTTAGTAATTTAGTTATTCTTCTCTTGTATTAGATATTACATAAACCATAGATGAATGATTGGTCTCGCTTCAGTCGAGTGAAGCGAGATCAATCATTTATCTATGACATAAACTTTTTTTGAGAAGTATTATGGCCCTAATGAGTATCAAAGTCCTATGAAACAGTCTCTTTTATGTAATACTGCTTAGCTTATTACCCATATACATACAGAACGAACCATCCCACAGTTGCAAGAAACTTGACAACTCTCTAGAAAGGAGTGATGGTGCAGCCAATACCTACACAATCTTCTCAGACCTCTCTCATATTATCTGCATGTTTTCACTTAAAGTTGGACTGAACATGAGAATTGTACCACTGTTTTTTGTCCTGAATAAAATAAAATAAAATATGTCCATCCTTGTTTTTTTTATTAAACATTTTTTTTTCTAGTAAAACTTTTCTTTATGTCCATCCTTTTCATTTATAGTACCACCTCAATAGGAATAAACAGCTGATACACAACAGCTGTAAATAAAAGAGAGCAACATACTTTTCAGTTACTTATTTTTGGGCACCTTCTGATTTACCTTACTTTACCCTTAGCACAAACCATTATCGCATTCAAATAATTTGCGTATCCGAAATGTCATTATTAAATTTTGTATGGAAACTTGAACAGCAGTGCCTTAAGGGACATAAGGAGAACTAAAAATCAGTACACATTTGACAACGACATTTCATACTCACAAACCTTACAAATTTGATATTCGTTTGTGCTAAAGGTACTGATTACTAGAATAGTTTTTAGCAGGAAATTTGCTAAGAGGACATTTAACATTTCAGGAGTGAACATAAAGACAGGGAGACAGCTAACGCTTTGGCAGAAGTTGGGGGTGGTATAAGTAGTTCTGTGGATGGTGTTGATGCAGTTCTTGACATACTCAAATCGTACATAACTCATGTCGAAGCAGACACTGCAGATTCAGTGTGGACAGTGGATTCTTTATTGGCACAATTGGCTGAAGAAAATCAGGAACCAATAATATGAACAATCCATGGTAAATTGGACTAAGATTGCCTTGTTAAATACAGATAAAAAACAATGACTATGCAATAAAGATGATTTTACTAAAATTCATTCTATTGAGATTAGGGAATCTGCACAATGTATTAAAAAGTATTTTTTTTTCTGCGATTTCTTGATTTTATTTGTAAAAAAATTGTTTTCTTTAGTGTACAATAAATATTTATTAGTTTTAAGTAGTAAGAGAAAAATAATCAGTTCCGTCCATAACTAAGGAATTGTTTTATCATATTTTAGTTGAATTATGAACAAGCATATTTTAGTTAATAAAATAAATAAAATGATATCAAAGCAGTTATTCATTTGTACATAAAATATGTTGTCTTTTCAAATGCTCAGGGGCCCAATTCTCGCGGCGTAGATATTATATCGTCTTCGAGATAATATCGAAAGTAGGGATATCTATTGAAAATATCTACTGATGGTAAAAAATGCTATTCTCGTGGATTTTCGATATTCCAATGATATTATATCTATCGTAGATATTCTTTCACTGACGAATGCGTTCCGTTTTTCTCGATTAAGTTAACATCATAGTCTATATAAAATAATAATAAATTAGAGCAGAATTTTACAAGCAAAAAAATGATATTTTATGAATTCCATTCATATTAAATATGAGTATACATTTTTTGAGTATAAGAAATCTCAACTTTACCTAAATTGTATGCGTATAAAATTTCTACGTTAAGTATAATGAAACGTCAATATTATTTAAGATTCTCCCTTTTCAGGGAAGGCAAAGGGAACAATTCCCATAAAGCCTAGTCTTTAGTTATATTAATCTTCTTTTTTTTACATTCGAATGTCGGTGTGACGCATTCTAATGTTTCTTGGAGTGTTTGACACGAAATTTATGGAGTTGGCTTTTTCTCTAAGCTTCTGTGAGGTAGTCAACACTACAATAAACTTCTCGCGTCCACTTGACCGGAATACCGTATATTTTAAAGATTCCACTAATTCTTCAGTTGCGCAGACGGTTGTAACACCAAATCACACCAATTTTATTTCACAATATCCACTATGAACGAATTTTAGAATAATTAAAATAAGATGCCAACCGCACTCGCAGAAATCCCGCCAAAACTCCGTATCGTCAATAAGAAAATGGTGTCGATTCTGGCATGATTCTGTAAACCTAAACGTAAATTTGACAACAGTGTATCCTTGTCATTCTCCATACAGAATGAAAAGCAGAGACTGATGTTAAATTTAGTTTTAAGTTTAGAGAATCGTGTCAGAATCGATACCAATGTCATTCATAACTTTAAAGATTTCTAACCAAATTTTTGTTTAAACGTATTTTTTTTAAGTCGGCGTCCCTCATTTCAAATGGGTCCTCTTGCTCTCACAACGGCGGCGCCTTAGCACAGCAGCAGCAATCACGTCATTTATTAAAGCATTGACGAAAACATGAATCAACTCATCCATCGTTAATATAAACTGGTGTCGATTCTCTAAATCTAAACATAAACTTGACAACAGTGTTTCCTTGTCATTCTCTATACAGAATGAAAAAGAGAGACTGATGTTAAATTTAGTTTTAAGTTTAGAGAATCACGCCAGAATCGACACCATTGTTTACCTACTTCTTTATTTACTAATTATTTATGAAGGCAGTTAACAACATCTTGAGGTAACAATAATTGCCAAAGACACACGACAACACAATAAATAATAGGTAAAAAAAGTTGAAATAACAAGATTGACATGCCAAGATCCATAGATATTTATATATCGAAGGCTCTTTACCAGTCGATGTATGTCTACTGATCATCCGTAGATAAATATCTATTGCGACATGGTGAGAATAGGGCAAAAAAGTTTTCCTTCGATAAAAGCCAGATCATTCGATATATATCGAAGGTGATATAATATCTATGCCGCGAGAATTGGGCCCCAGGTTAGCAATTTGTTACTTACAAGCTTACAAATATAACTCACAATTATTTCATAAAAATAAAGGTCTTACATTGAGAAATAATTTCTAATTAAATAATAACAATTTCATTTAAATACGATGACCTTTGTTAAAATTAAAATCATCTTATGTATTTTCCACCTAAAAAAGTTAATTATTCTAAAAACTAACACAGGTAAAAATAGTCCTTCAAATTGATCAATCACAGAATAATACTAGTTACATAAGCAATATTTACTGTAACGGGACAATAATAAATTCATATTATAATTTTCAAATAAATTAAAGAAAAAGCAAGTATGACAGTATATTTCAAGATTTAAAATCATAAAAGGGAATTCACAGCTAGAATAAGCTCCATCCTATGGGATTTGCAAAAGTCATATTTATGCGAATTACAAGCGTTTGTTCAAATGTTATTTTAGTAGTTGACATAGTCCTATTTCAAATCAAATATTTACAATCTATTTTATACCAATGTGATCTATTAACATATTGTACAAAGTTAGTGTCATGTCACTTTTAAAACTAATGCAGAGGCCAACAATAGATACCTATTTACAAATAATTCTATGACCTTACACTGAAACTTTGAACAAAACTTTTGAAAGTCCCACCGGCACACTGGAATGCTACAACTGCATTAATGACAAGGACGATATATGATGGTATTATGGTAGCTGCATATAGTCCTTTGGTGTTCAGTAAGCTGAGTGCCGACACAAAGAGGTGTGATTTGATGACCCACCCTATTTTTAAGTAGTTCTTCTCGTCACATCCATTGAAGAATATTACACTCCAGAAAGTATTCAGCAGTATCATACATAAGGTCATTGCTGCACTTGTAACAAAGAAATATTCACTGCCACCATGAAGACCAAGGGTACCAGGACCAATCTGAAAATAAACAGTTGTAAATTATAAATTTTGTTGAAGAAAGCAAATAAGTATTAACATTTCAATTGGTCAATGATATATCGAGCCGTTACCACCAAATTATCGTAAGCGACACTTTTGTCGAAATGCGTTTTTTGTGGAAACTAATATTTTAAACCATAACAGACCCATCTCTGTTGATATTTCCCTCCAACCTTCCTTCTGTTATATTATAACGGTGTTCTTTTGGAGGGAAATATCAACAGAGATTGGTCCGTTACGGTTTAAAATATTAGTTTCCACAAAAACGCATTTCGACAAAAGTGTCGCTTACGATAATTTGGCGGTAACGGCTCGATATATATCATGTTCATGTTACTAACACCCAAAAATAATAGTACTTACTGAATCAGCTAACACATTGACTAAGGCAAAAGCACCACTCATAAGCCCAAATCCTAGTCCTGAGACATATGCCATTTCCAATTTGTTGCTTCCTATTTCGTGGTTCTCTGATATCTCTTTAAGGCCTGCTTCTGTTTTCCTTAGCAAGCGATACATACCATACCGAAATGCTTCCTGAAATTAAATGTATTAAAAGAAACAGCAATCGGTTTTGAAAATAATACCGGATCAAGAAGTACTACTTACTTGAAAAATTACAGCGAATACCATTCCAAAGGCCAGATAAGACCTCAGGGGTACAACAGCAAACCACACCAGTGAGGACAACAAAAATGACAGTAGCCACCCAAAAGCTGCTGCTATCATAATAATGATACGCACTGGGTCATTGGCCACTGTCATCGCAAACATTACCAATGGGGGCCCAAAGGCTAGCAGGGAACAACTAAAAAACTCTGCGACAGTCATTTCACGACTTGATATAGTTGCTAAGAAAATTATGTTCTTAGGTTTACAGTATAGGTAGTGCAGCAACACTCCGTGTTGTTTTGGTTTAAAATTTATTCACGTATACGATAACATTTAAAAGGGCTCTTTGAGATTTTATTTTATAAAAAATGTAAAAACAGCCTATGCTAAGAAGCCAGCTTTTCTCATTTTTTTGACATTGACGTTATGACTAATGACAGAAAAGTTTTTTTTAGATTCCCGTTTTAGGGAACGCAAAGGAAACAATGTCCATATAGCCTGATCTTTAATATATTAATCTTTTTTTCTACATTAGAATGTCGGTGTGATGCATTCTAATGTTTTTTTTTAATTTTTGGCACAAAATGTCTCGAGTTGGCTTTTTCGATAAGGTTCTGTGAGGTAGTCAACACTACATTAAAGTTCTCACTTCTCACGTCCACTTTGCCGGAATAGCGTATATTTTAAAGATTCCACTAATTCTTCAGTTGCTCAGACGGTTCTAACACAAAATCCCACCGATTTTATTTCATAATATCCACTATGAACGAATTTAAGAATAATTAAAATAAGACGCCAACTGCACTCGATGAAATCCCGCCAAAAAACCTGATAGAACAGAACAGAATAGCTGATATAATCTTCCTGTATGGGAAGGAAAAGTATGCTGAGCCTATACATCATTTTTTTTTTACTTTGAGTGTTACACACTCAAAGTAAATATCAAATATATTAATATTTGATATGGTTTCACGACTATTAAATAGTCGTTGAGTATCTAAATAGAATGACTTTATAATTCTCAATATTAATATATGTATTAAAATATTTCAAATTCAAAAGAAAAAAGATTATTACAATTTAAGATCACACTGTATGTGCATTTTGCTTTGCGTCCCATGAAAAGGGAAATGTAAAAAAAACTGTCATTAGTAATGACAAATTTAGCTCTTTGAAGAGTTATCAGCTGTATGCCTAGTGAAGAGCTATACATTAATATAAATATATAGCTCTTCTAACTCAGTGCAGTTCATGCAGATAGAAGGCTATTGTTGAAGATCAGACTCGCTCGATTGACACTTTTGAGTTATATCAGAATAGGTAGTCTATGGTGTCAATTCTGGCGTGCATCTCTAAACTTTTTTTAACTTTATAACTATAGCAAAGTAGACGAAATTTTAATGTTCAAGTATGTTGAGCTAGCGTCTCCGATAGGCAGTGATTGTATGTATCTCTTCCTGCCGTATGTCTATCAAGTCGGTCGATTCCGATGAAACACTGAGCTAAATTAGATATACGTTGAGTTAAAATAGGTGAGCTAGCTCTTTGTAACAACTCGCTCGCGAGCTACGCATCGCTAACTATCATTGTGAACGACATACACAGATTAAAAATTTGTTTGACGTTAAACATAACCTACATAAATCGCATCCCCTTATTCTAAAATAAAAAACTAAGACGTGTCTCTTACTTACAATGCAAATATTTTAAAGAACAGTAAGTAACTGAAATGAAATATGGCTCCAAAACAAGCCAAAAAGACTTTGTGGGTGGTTTGTGAACGTTGTGGCTGCACTATAACCTCTAACGACAAAAACACGCATACAGAGTTAAATTGTGGAAAAGATCAATTAAAGTGTCCTTACGTAGAAGATGGGAAGTTGTATTCTTGGTTAGTGAGAGGTGCGGCATCGCCGGACGGCGTGCCGAAGGATGCTGTATTGTTGCATCCATCTGCAGGCATGTTGATTGGTGCAGTCATTGGAGGGGCTTTAGAGTTGAGCAGGGATGGTGCACCAAAACTAGTGAAACGTATGTGGCCGTCCAAGAATTCGGCGTCTGCTGCTGTCATGTTACCAGCAGCAGGTAAGAACTGTGCTGAATTATTTTACCAATTATTTCCTTAAACCATTTAACTAGTTATTCATCATTTAAAATTTCAGATTTATCTGGAGCTTGGTGCAGTGACAGTAAGAGAATTACAGTATCTGTATTGCGAGGAGAAGTGCAAGAGGCGACATTTTTATCAGTCAAAATCAAGAATCATACAATAGAAAATGATATCAGTGATCTTTTAAGACATAACTTTAGTAATTACTTTGTTCGAGTCAGGAGTGTTTTAGTGTACTATTACTTTGGTAAAAAACTTGAAATAGAAGTGACAGATGTGAAATCTATCACTGAACATAGTAGTGATCACTGGTATGTTGTGAATGAAAGCACTATATGGAGTTTGGAAAAAGATAATGTTAAAAAAGTAAATAGGAAGCCCATAAATCTTGGTGGTGTTGATGACATCTTAGACGAAATTAAAACTTTTATACAGATTTCATTTGATCTTGAATTGGCTGCTAATTTTCAACCAACAAGGGGGTTACTTTTATACGGACATTCTGGCATTGGAAAAACTGCGATGTGTAAATATCTGATTGAAAATCTTAATTGTTACCATGTTGAGATCAATGGTCCAGCAATATTTAGTAAATATTTTGGAGAAACTGAGTCAACAATGAAGAAAATATTTTCTAGGGCAACCCAAAATGAACCCAGTATTGTCTTGGTTGATGAAATAGAAACAATTTGTCCGAGAAGGTCGACCGGTAGCACGGAGCAGGAAAGAAGGGTAACGTCTGCATTTGTTGCTCTACTTGATAGCCTTCATGAAGAAAATAGCAGAGTATTTATTATAGCTACAACAAGGAAACCAGATGCTATTGATCCTATGCTCAGGAGATTTGGTAGACTGGACAAAGAGATCGAGGTACCAGTTCCTGATAGAATTAGAAGAAAAGGGATTTTATACACTATTCTTTCAAATTTGTCTCATAAAGTGACATCCCAAGAGATTGATTCTATATCAGACTTGGCCCATGGTTACGTAGCTGCTGATTTAGTTAATCTATGTACACAAGCTTCATTAAAATGTATAAAAAGGTCAAGTAAAGCTATACAGCATGAAGACTTAGTCGCAGCCCTCACTATAGTGAGACCTAGTGCAATGAGGGAGTTGCTGATAGAGGTACCTAACGTGAGATGGACAGATATTGGTGGTCAACACAACTTAAAATTGAAGCTTCGTCAAGCAGTAGAGTGGCCGTTAAGACATGCAGACAGTTTCAAACGGTTAGGCATCAGACCTCCAAGTGGTGTTCTTCTGTATGGTCCTCCCGGTTGCTCTAAAACTATGATTGCAAAAGCTTTAGCTACTGAAAGTGGTCTAAATTTCTTGTCAATAAAGGGACCAGAGTTGTTCTCCAAGTGGGTTGGTGAGTCAGAGAGAGCTGTTAGAGACTTGTTCATGAAAGCTCGCCAAGTAGCTCCATCAATTATCTTTTTTGATGAAATGGATGCCATTGGTGGCGAACGAAGTGCAGGAGAAGCAGGTGTTCATGAAAGGGTTTTAGCACAGTTGTTGACAGAACTAGATGGTGTAGTCCCTCTTAATTCTGTAACAATATTGGCAGCGACAAACCGTCCGGATAAAATAGACAGGGCATTACTGCGTCCTGGCCGGCTGGATAGGTTGATCTATGTCCCATTGCCTGATTTTGAAACGAGACTGCAAATTCTTGAATTGAAACTGAATAAGATGAGCACTACTGATGACATCAATCCTCATAGTTTATCTGCTAGGACCGAAGGATTTTCTGGTGCAGAGCTACAGGCACTCTGTCATGAAGCAGCATTACAAGCCTTGGAGAAAGATTTGGACTGCGCTGCAGTAACAATGGAACATTTTGAATTAATATTGAAAGATTTCAAACCGAGAACCCCACAGTCCTTGATAAAGGTATATGAAAATTTTGCTTTGGGCCAAAAATCTGGATAGCTGATTTATGAATAAATATTTTTATATAGCTTTATTTTATACCCAAATACAGAGCCATGTTTATTTCCCAGAGGGAAATTATTAATAATATATTTGTAAATAACAATACTTTATTATTTATTTACAAAAAAATATGGAGTTATTTTTATTAGTTAATAAGAAAACAGAATGTGTGTAAATATAATAAGAAAACAGTGCCTTACTTATTTTTTTTTATTAATTCATTATGTATGAATCCTAATAATTACATATAATACCTATATTGGATGAAGTATAATTATAAACCTATTGAATAATATATTGAATTGCCATTTATTTTGAATGTTTGGTTTAATAGAAAAGGAACATAAGGGGTAGGGGGAGTACACAACATAAGTTTCTATATAAAAAACAGTCCTACATACAAACAGCTTACAATAACAGACACTGTTATACTACAAAAATGCACTATTAATTTGTGACGATATATGTATAGTGCGATTCAAATAAGAATAGGAAAGCCAATGACCGCCATCTGTCAAATGTCGCTTGAAAAGATCGGTTTGCAAAAAAAACTGATATATTTCTCACTAAAAAAATCTTGGTAAAAAGTTTTATTAAAGAAAAAAAATGGTTGCCTGTAAAGTCGGTTTTACGGGCGAAGATTTTACGTGACAACGTCTTTTTCTCGGTAGAATATTTATTGATATGAATATAATTAAATAGCACAATAGGAACAAGGAATTGAATGAAAATAAGAATTGCACAAATTTTAACTATAGAAATATATTTTGTTTACTAAAACATTGTACATGTAAACTTAAACTCATCGTAACGTTACCGAGCGTTACACTTTTTCATAAGTGACTCCCAGCCGCAACCTAATTTAAGACGTTGTCACGTCAAAACTTTTGCTTCGTCTACCCAACTGGTTTGAATGACAGCTATGGCGTCACAATATGGCGCCCAGTCGGTCCTATTCTTAGTTGAATCGCATTATATGTATATTTAAAGAATATTATGCCTTATCATCAAGAAACAGATCTTGTTTTACTTATAATTATGGTACCATGTACGTACTCTGTATTATTATTATCGTCAGTATGTAGTTTTATCGTTATTATTATAAACATAATTGTCAAAGTAAGCAGGCCCCTGTGTGCAGTCTTTTGTCTTGGAAGAGTTAAAAGCAATTCTGTAATTTCACATTGTTGGGCAAATATAGTCACTATTGCTTTAAAAATACAATGTGGTGCATGTTACACAACTGATATTTTTTTTATTAGTACTGTACTTTACAATGAAATAAGAGACAGTACTGATGAGCCGAATATAAAACGTAGTAGAACTTATTATAATAATTTTATTATAATGTAACGTAGTAATAGTAGACCGGGGTCGATAATTTTTGAGACAAAAAAAATTTTTTTTCAGGATTTTTACACAAGCCTTGTTTAGAAACTTTTTTATCGACGCACTTACACATACACACAGGCACATTGTTGGCGTAGCGCCATAGTAGCGCGTCGCGCTAAACATTGTGTAGTGGAAAAAAAAATGTATTTTTTTGACTTTAAAATACAAATGTTTCCCATGTATAATATTTTGTAATATTACTTGTTTGGGTGTACAGAATACGTAGTTTTAGTCTTGGTTTTTTTACACCCTATGCCTAGGGATTTTTGTTCAAATATTGTGGTTATGCCTTGCATAGAATTGCACGAACTTGTCAGGGCTGGCTAATGTTTGAAGATATGCTTTTAGAGAATAACAAAGAACTGCTACTAATATTAAAAGGAAAACGATATGTTTTTTAGGTAAAATTAAATAATATGAATTTAAAGTCTCTCTTGCATCTTTGAGGAAATCTTCAAAATAAATCTAAGTTTTCATAAAAAGTACGTAAGTTTATACATGAGTCATGCCAATCCAGTTGGTTACGAATCAGGCACGACAAATATAAAAATTAAAAGACATGTAAACACAGTCAAAAGCACAACAAATTTAATGTGTGTGTAAAATGCATTAGGGTTCAAAATGAATTGCACGAAATTGATAGATTGGTATAGTCAGGTTTGCTGGGCTGCGTTCTAAACCTACGAACCAGGTGCAACAAATGTCAAATTTTACATAATTAAGTTTCATACATTTTCAGTTAAAATTGAAAGTTGAGGATGAAAAGTTGATCTCAGATTGTAGGTTTTTGAACGCAGTCCTGCTGAATGTTTTCATCTTACATAACATTAGGAAAAGTACCTAATAGATGGATCTTTAGTAGAAATAACTCGCACAAAATATTTTGTAGTTGATCGTACCGATCGTCTTATTATACAGTCTTTTTAGTTAATTTTAAATGTTGATGTCCGGAGTGAATGAATAAGTCCAGTTTCTACCAAATTTTGCAAAAATAAATAATAATAATATTTGGTACACGCCTTTTACAGCATTGGTGAAAGCAAATCGTCACATTTTACAGAATACTATTATCAACAAACGAAGCTTATGAGTAATTCGTAATAACATTAATTACTACTCTCACACCAAGTTTCAAAACATCCGATTTTCAACTCGAGAGATGAGTTGACAACACATAAAATCACATTATCCTTGACAGTGGTGTCGATTCTGGCACGATTCTCTAAATCTAAACTTAAATTTGACAACAGTGTATCCTTGTCGTTCTCTTTACAGAATGAAAAGGAGAGACTGATGTTAAATTTAGTTTTAAGTTTAGAGAATCACGCCAGAATCGACACCATTATATTACTAATATCAGTCTTAGGAAGAAAATATTTTTTCAAGGTTATCATTTATTTTCTTCGCAAGGTCAATTTGATAGTCGACCTCAAATATGGTGATTACGTTCATCTAGGTAAGTACAGAGATAATTATTAATACCTAAGGCGAACTTTGATTTTAAATTTAGATTTTTTGTGGGTAATTTTAAATCTTTTTATTAAGATTAAACAATATATTGTTTTAAACTTTCATAGCCACTTACATTACAGTCATTTATGTTATTTTATTGTTACCATGTACCTTGTTTTAAGCGAGTTTCCGATATTTCGGCACTGTTGCAAGCGCCATGATCACGGAGTAAAATAACATAAATTAGATTATTCAATTACAATTTTTAACTTACTTTGTGTGAATGACCCTAAGTTATCCGAGACTTAAGTCTTCACACAAAGTTAGGCTAGCCATTTGCCAGTGCTTTCCGAACATACAAGTTGAGTGGCAGGTTAACATTGATACAAAAGCAAGTGCCAATCTAACTGGCATACTAGTGCTAGCTCCGTGTAAGCGATTATCACAATTCAGCCACGTTAAATAGAGTAACCGACTCCATTGTTATACGGCTAAATCTAGACCTCGTTTCTGTAGCAATGCAAATCTGAGGTTCAAGCAGGAATTTTGACAGCTTCGTAATCGTTTCACATCGTCAGTCTCTATGAAAATTAAGCAACGCCCTATCGGACGTATGAACAATAGGGATGATGACTAATTTTTTTTTCTTCTTTATTAGGTATATTATCAAAAAGTATTGGACACGTATTTTTTCTTTTTTCACATAATATAAACATTACAGAGATATATTGATTTGAAAAGTCGCATGACGTCACGTTTGAGTACACTTATAAGTGAAAATTCACTCAAAAGTGACGTCACGAGCCCCTACTCCCAAACTTTGACGCGCTATAACTTTGTCATTTTTTGGTTGATTGCCCGAAGAAAAAATACGTGTCCATTATTTTTTGATCATCTAACTGACGGACTAAATAAAATTTCGTTTACTGTACCCCGTCATCACCCCTATTATTTTTATAAAATTCCACTTTATTTTTCTTAATAAGTTCACTTGCGTCAACAATGCGCAACGACAACAATCTCCGCCCCCTTTCACCAAGTCGATATAATACTGACATAATATGTAAGTTTTGGCTTGGGTAAAATATTTACTGCACCGATTAATTGAATGTTCGATACTGGTATTTCCGTTTTTTCTCAAAGGCCAAGTTTGTTCGTTCTTTATAAATTCTTCTTTCCTAAGAAACTCATCTTTCAAGCTTTCCCGGACAGTTATTTGATATCTAACAACGAAGACGCTCCAATTCTAACGCAAATCTCACACAGTCCCGACCTCACGTCAAGAATTACCGACAATTTGGAAAATATGTCGACTTAAAATAATTACCCCTGTTTCACAACATAAGTTATTGTCGTTGAAGTAAGATACTTGTAACAAAATGCCTTTCAATTTTATGACATACGAGTATGTCGACTTGGTGAAATAGGGTACTGGACAGGCTAAAATCGAAAAAGAGTGATTGAAAAATAGATGTCCAGTATTGTTTTTAAGGTTTATACGCGCAGTATCTCCGTGTGCCAGTTGTAACATATGACGCTTCAGTCGGGCTGTGTGGCGAGGCGACCCACTGGATCTGTAACCTGGCCTTCAGCGGTGGTGTTAGCTGGAATCGGGTCTTCTATGGCACACGGCAAACGGTGATGTAATTCCAAACAAGCGATTCGAAAACAGGTGTCCAGCACAATAGTGCGTCCTACCCGTGATAATATATGGAGTCGTGATGTGGCCATTGACGTCAAGGCTAGTCCTCCAAATGAAGGTCGCTCAGCGAGCTATGCTGGGAATTTCTCCGAGGGATCGGACCGGAACGAAGAAATTCGCAAGAGAACTAAAGTTACTGACATAGTTCAACGAGTTAGCGAGCTGAAGTGGCTGTGGGCTCAACATATAAGCCATAGATCAGATGGCCGTTGGGGCAGACTAGTTCTGGAGTGGAGACCGCGGTTCGGCAAATGCAGTGTGAGGCGTCCCGCGACTAGATGTAGCGATGAAATCAGAACAGAAGCAAGGACTGGCTGAAGAGAGCTAAAGATCGAGCTCTGGGATGGGAGAGGCCATGTCCAGCAGTCCACTGATGCTGGGTTTTTATGGTTTAAACGCGCAATATCTCCGTGTGCCGGTTGTAGCATATGGCGATCCAGTCGGGCTGCGTGGCGCCCCACTGGATCTGATTAACCTCGCCCTCAGCGGCGGTGTAAGCTAGGATCGGGTCCTCTATCGCGCGCGGCATCTGCTGGATGTCCCAGATCAACGCCTGGTGATCGTCGCCCGCGGTGCAGATGTGACACGAACTGTCAAATGATAGAAAAGCCGTTGGAGAGAGTTTCTCTATGGATAATTAATACTCAACCAATTAGAAATAATATGGAATACAAACTACGCTAAAAAGTGATTCCACGCAAATACAATTATGTACATATAAATAATAAACACAGGATAGTTTTTATTCGCGATATCATCCTTTGGGGGTGAAAAGATATCTGGAAGTTTTGTATGAAAACCAATTCAAGTACACAGACGAGTCAGTTTCATTTATATTTCCTATTTTACGTAAACTTAATCTAACCTTACCAGTCTGCGTGCTCTTGGGACTTTTGACCGTTTATCCTCCTAGCACGTCTCTAGTGGAAACGTAGCCCAACAAGACTAACGTAGAACAATGCTTGGTGATGGTAGTGTACATTGTGGGAATAGACTGCAATGAGTCTATAGAATGTTGTTTGGGCGGCAGGAGATACCGTTGACGCAGGCGCGGTTGTTGTTGAGGCGCGCTGTGTACCTGTGCATTGTCAGTGTGTACCTGTGCGGCGCCCAGGCGATGCCGTTGACGCAGGCGCGGTGGTTGTTGAGGCGCGCTGTGTACCTGTGCATTGTCAGTGTGTACCTGTGCGGCGCCCAGGCGATGCCGTTGACGCAGGCGCGGGGGTTGTTGAGGCGCGCTGTGTACCTGTGCATTGTCAGTGTGTACCTGTGCGGCGCCCAGGCAATGCCGTTGACGCAGGCGCGGTTGTTGTTGAGGCGCGCTGTGTACCTGTGCATTGTCCGTGTGTACCTGTGCGGCGCCCAGGCGATGCCGTTGATGCAGGCGCGGTGGTTGTCGAGGCGCGCTGTGTACCTGTGCATTGTCAGTGTGTACCTGTGCGGCGCCCAGGCGATGCCGTTGACGCAGGCGCGGTGGTTGTTGAGGCGCGCTGTGTACCTGTGCATTGTCAGTGTGTACCTGTGCGGCGCCCAGGCGATGCCGTTGACGCAGGCGCGGTGGTTGTCGAGGCGCGCTGTGTACCTGTGCATTGTCAGTGTGTACCTGTGCGGCGCCTAGGCGATGCCGTTGACGCAGGCGCGGTGGTTGTTGAGGCGCGCTGTGTACCTGTGCATTGTCAGTGTGTACCTGTGCGGCGCCCAGGCGATGCCGTTGACGCTGGCGCGGTGGTTGTCGAGGCGCGCTGTGTACCTGTGCATTGTCAGTGTGTACCTGTGCGGCGCCCAGGCGATGCCGTTGACGCAGGCGCGGTGGTTGTTGAGGCGCGCTGTGTACCTGTGCATTGTCAGTGTGTACCTGTGCGGCGCCCAGGTGATGCCGTTGACGCAGGCGCGGTGGTTGTTGAGGCGCGCTGTGTACCTGTGCATTGTCAGTGTGTACCTGTGCGGCGCCCAGGCAATGCCGTTGACGCAGGCGCGGTGGTTGTTGAGGCGCGCTGTGTACCTGTGCATTGTCAGTGTGTACCTGTGCGGCGCCCAGGCGATGCCGTTGACGCAGGCGCGGTGGTCGTTGAGGCGCGCTGTGCACCTGTGCATTGTCAGTGAGTACCTGTGCGGCGCCCAGGCGATGCCGTTGACGCAGGCGCGGTGGTTGTGGAGGCGCGCTGTGTACCTGTGCATTGTCAGTGTGTACCTGTGCGGCGCCCAGGCGATGCCGTTGACGCAGGCGCGGTGGTTGTTGAGGCGCGCTGTGTACCTGTGCATTGTCAGTGTGTACCTGTGCGGCGCCCAGGCGATGCCGTTGACGCAGGCGCGGTGGTTGTTGAGGCGCGCTGTGTACCTGTGCATTGTCAGTGTGTACCTGTGCGGCGCCCAGGCGATGCCGTTGACGCAGGCGCGGTGGTTGTCGAGGCGCGCTGTGTACCTGTGCATTGTCAGTGTGTACCTGTGCGGCGCCCAGGCGATGCCGTTGACGCAGGCGCGGTGGTTGTCGAGGCGCGCTGTGTACCTGTGCATTGTCAGTGTGTACCTGTGCGGCGCCCAGGCGATGCCGTTGACGCAGGCGCGGTGGTTGTTGAGGCGCGCGACGGGCGTGCAGGGGACCCGCACGTCCAGTATGATCACCTCGCACGCGTCCATGGCCACGGTCGCCAGGTAGTTGGGGTCCTGCTTGTTCCACGCTAAGCGGAGCAGCGGCGTGTGTTGTGGGTCCTGTTAGTTGTGGTACAGTTCTCTTAGGCTGTACACAGGACTGCATTTCAACGGCTTTCTGACTGCCAAATTTCAGTTCGTGTGCAGTTTGAAATGCAGTCTGTCTCTCTAGAGCCTTACCGCCTTATTCCAAAACGTGGATTAAAGTTAGTCTTGGTTTAAACCTAATGCTGTCTCTGTCTTCTTTTTAGCAAACAAAGGAGACAACATCGTTTTGGACAGGGTTTAACTTTAGTCTATCTTTTGTAATAAGGCAATAAGTGATAGCTTTCAGATTTTCGAGCTTAAGTCTTGTGCAAACCAAGACTAGTATTATAGAAGGCCGTAAGAAGACCCTATTATAGAAAGATTCTCAGTAATTGATCTAGTCTTGAGCATTGCTAGAAAGGGATGTCACTATATTATAGCACATAGCGACATCCCTTCCTAACTCAAGTGGGTATCAAAAAAAATTTTTTTTTCGGCTTTTTTTTTAGTGAAACTTATTTAGGCACGCTTGACTTGGGGGGTAAACTGGCGAATGTGTTACGATTAGTATCATCGGTGACTCATCGGTAAACAATGAACAACAATACCCGTCACTGGGACTGACGCAGCGCGGATTGCTGGGTGATAACGGACCCAGCACGGATTGGTGGGTGATAACGGACTCAGTTGAGATTGGTGGGTGATAATGGACTCAGCACGGATTGGTGGGTGATAACGGACCCAGCGCGGATTGGTGGGTGATAACGGACCCAGCACGGATTGGTGGGTGATAACGGACCCAGCACGGATTGGTGGGTGATAACGGACCCAGCACGGATTGGTGGGTGATAACGGACCTAGCATGGATTGGTGGGTGATAACGGACTCAGCACGGATTGGTGGGTGATAACGGACCCAGCGCGGATTGGTGGGTGATAACGGACCCAGCGCGGATTGGTGGGTGATAACGGACCCAGCATGGATTGGTGGGTGATAACGGACCCAGCACGGATTGGTGGGTGATAACGGACCCTGCATGGATTGGTGGGTGATAACGGACCCAGCACGGATTGGTGGGTGATAACGGACCCAGCACGGATTGGTGGGTGATAACGGACCCTGCATAGATTGGTGAGTGATAACGGACCCAGCACGGATTGTTGGGTGAAAACGGATTTTTTTTGGTTATAATTATTATTATTTGATTATATCTTTTTCTTAATTTTATTGAATTTAATGAATACCTTCCATGATTGTTAATATTTTGTATGTATGACGTGCCGCGGCGTGTTGGATTATTCTGTAAGCCTGCATGTTTAAATTGAATAAATAAATAAAAACGGACCCAGCACGGATTGTTGGGTGAAAACGGACAAAGCACGGATTGGTGGATGATAACAGATCCAGTGCGGATTAGAGGGTAATAACGGACCCAGCGCGGTTTTTTGATTTTTTTCTATCAACAAATCTTCAGGTTAAGTTTATGATTTTCAGATCATTGGAGTTAAAGAAGTTTCACTTCGGTCGTGTGGTCATAAGCACACGCGCCTTTTGATGTGTAACATCTTTCCTCTCGCTTTCGTGCAATGTGGGAGTGATTACGTGAAGTGGGACGGAAGTGTGTAACAGGAAGTTTGGGAAGCCGCGCTGTTTGATTTGATTTTATAACATAATGTTTAAATGGCTTATTCCTTTTGTAGTTTTTTTTTTTAATTATTTTTTTAACTAATATAAGGTGAGGTTTCAAACGTTACACATCATACGCGACTACTGTAAGGCTCGTTCGTTTTTTGAAGTTATACTTCTTTAGGCGCGTTATGAAAAAATTATGAGAGTGAAATTTTTAGATGCGCGCGCATCACTGTAACACAAAATTTTAACAGCATGAAGTTGGTCGCTTTAGCGACCAACTTCATGCGTTGCTATTGTGTTTACCGCACATTAAGAAAATATACCAACAAAATAGAAATAGAATCTCTATTTAGTGGGTGCTAACGACTGCATTGTGAAGGCCTATCAAAAGTATTTATTAATCTGGAACAACGGAACCAAAGCGCGATTCAGGAGACTACAGCGCCATCTCTTGACCATTGGTGTAGTAGAACCAAAAACCACATCTTTATTGTTTGTAATAAAGTAACAGTTATAGGTATTCATATTTATAATATTTATCCACATGTTTCTAGTTTGTATATTCGGAATACGTGTTTGAGTTTCATAAAAGTGCAAATCACATATGTTCTAATAAATTATATTCAGTAGCGATTTTAATTGAATATTTTGATTATTTATTTATTTTTTCAAATTAAAACTGAACTTTATTGACAGTGTCCTTTTCCAGACTTTTTATTAATTTATTGTAATTAATTATTTGCATGCAATTAAAAACCAATTTTAAACGATGCCAAAGAAGGATAACTTCTCACGCGCCTACGTACTATAAGTACACGCACCCATTTTTTTTCCTTATGTAACACTTTCTTATAGCGAGAGAGAGGCTGGCGCACTGAGACACAGTCACGTCAGCTTAGTTTGGTCTCCAGTCTCTCCCAATCTTAATCTTAAGTTTTATAATCTGTTACTTACGAAGCATGTGTAAGATTGTGGAGAGAAAATAAAGTATATTATTATTTCCACATTGTCTTCTCACCTCTGTACCCAGCTATGAGCAGTGAGTAGTGAGTAGTGAGCAGTGAGTAGTGAGTAGTGAGCAGTGAGTAGTGAGCAGTGAGTAGTGAGCAGTGAGTAGTGAGCAGTGAGTAGTGAGTAGTGAGCAGTGAGTAGTGTGCAGTGAGCAGTGAGTAGTGAGCAGTGAGTAGTGAGCAGTGAGTAGTGAGCAGTGAGTAGTGTGTAGCGAGCAGTGAGTAGTGAGCAGTGAGTAGTGAGCAGTGAGTAGTGAACAGTGAGTAGTGAGCAATGAGTAGTGAGCAGTGAGTAGTGAGCAGTGAGCAGTGATCCCTCACCTCGTATATGATGGTGGAGTGCTCGAGGTGCCTCAGGTCGAACATCCTCACGGACCCGTCGGCCCCCACCGACGCGAACATGTCGCGCCCGCCCCCCGCGCGACTGAACGCTATGTCGTACACTTCCTAATAAACGACTCACTTTTAGACATTCAACCGTTACATTTATTTATTTTATTTATTTAAAAGTAATCTACAGAAAAAATATATTTAGAACTAGCTGTCCCAGCGAACTTCGTACCGCCATAAAAAAATAGGGGTTGGTGGTAGAAGGGTGAAAATTTTGGGTTGTATGTATTTTTGTATGATGTATCATAAAAAAATTTAAAAAAATATCTCAAATTGAAAAAAAAGTTTTTGGGGTGGATTACCCTTAAGATTTAGGGGGATGAAAAATAGATGTTGTCCGATTCTCAGATCTACCCAATATGCACACAAAATTTCATGAGAATCGGGAAAGCCGTTTCGGAGGAGTTTAACCACAGACACCGCGACACGAGAATTTTATATATTAGATTACGAGAAACATTGATAAAAAAAATCATGACAAGCTTTCGATCTATACAATTTTAAACCTCCAGTTTGTTTTAACCTTTCGGCCGTTTTCGAAACCGGAAGCCTTGGAACGAACCGATATCGAATTCGAATAGTTTGCGAGTGCGAAATGTCAATATCAAATTTTGTATGGAAACTTGAACAGCAGCACCACAAAGTACGTAACGAGAACTGAAAATCAGTACACATTTGACAATGACATTTCGGACTCGCAAACTATTCGAATTCGATATCGGTTCGTGCTAAGGGTACAGTTTCGAACAGAGAAAGATATTTCTGCTTTTGAAAAAATATTAACAATTATTGCATCGAAACTCAGCGATTAATCATACAATCCTATTATATTTTAATTATAAGCATTAATCTGCTTGACTCGTAAATGAAAATATCATATAAAATGGTAGGCATACAAGCTTATGGCCAGGCTGATGGTAAGTTACCGCCATAGCTACGATATTATAATATCATTTCACATAAGCTGTTGCATACTCTGAACCCATCCCCCACCCCATGAAGCCTTGGCAACTATTTTCGCCTTTTATTAATATAGCTAACTTCATTTAGTCTTGGCCAGTATTTTTTCAATTAATATTGCATTATGTTTATTATTTGAATAAGCTAATTTGAAAAGTTTTTAACGTCACGTGTCAGTCACGTTAAAAAACTTTTCAAATTAGCATAAACAACACAACACTGACACAAATGTCAGTCACGTGACGTATCAATAAATCAAAAATACTTTTTTATTTTATAATCTGTAGTAATATTAATAAAGATTAAATATAAGTCAATTTATTGGTTGTTTTTACTTTCTATGTGTAGAATTACATATATTTAAAACCATATTTATAAAATACTAAGTGAAAACTATAGGAGGACGGTAGAAGTCTTGGCATATAGGGTCACTTAGTATGGGTATGTTCTCTTATATTGTATGTATTAAGATGCCCATGGACCACCCATTATTGTCAGATTTTTTTTCGAAACAAGTTTTGAGAGAAGAAATTTAATTCTTTCGTATTCGGACATTTCAATTCGTAAATTTAAAAAGTTCGCAGTGGTTTGGTTTAATGCTATAAACTCAAAAACAACTTAACAGATTAACTTAAAAAAAAACCCAATTTAAATTTTAGTTTTCACAATAAGTCTGCAATAGCATAAACTTTTAAGGTTAACTCACTTTAATCTTTTTTATAACAATTAAATATATTGCATAATTCAGTGTTTTTATAAATCTGATGTTAAAATACTGTTATGACATTACTAATAATATAATTTAGCATATATTTTTCCTGAAATTAGACCACAAACATAGCTAGTAAATAAGAGCTTTAATCAAATACCTTGTCATGAGCGATGAGTTGTGTCTTCACATGACCTGACACTTCGTTGACTCTGCCCAAAACTTGACCTGTCTCCAAGCCCCATATCGTGCAAGTGGTATCAATGCTACTGGTGCCGATCAGATTGGGATCGACTTCGTTCCAGTCGAAGGATGTAAGTGGGGCACAGAAGTCAGAGTTTTTGTTGTTATTGAGGACACATTCAAAGAGAGTGTACGGTTCTCCCGCCCTCCAGATGCGAAGATAGTCACCTGAAACAAACGGGAAAATCTTCAGTCTGTTAATCTGATCTTTGTGCATTTCATTACAGTGTAATAATAAATGCCAACCTATTATAAACCATTTCATTAATATCAAGATGTGATTAATTGTCCTTTTATTCGTTGGCCAACATCCAATTATTTGTCAACATGTAAGACCTGGTAACCCAGATTGAGGAAATAGGAAGTAATTGCACTCATTGCTGTACCATTATTATTACAGTATAATCTTATATTTGATTTACTATTTGATTCTGAATTCTAGACATTTTGACATTATTCAGCAAAGAAGTCTATACTTACATAAATATCAAAAGTGGATTAGAACAACCAAATACATATAAATAATTGAAATTTACAATTTCTCTATGCTATTAGTAAGTATCTCATTTGCTTTACAATGTATAATTACCAATAAGATTCCAAACATCCAGTCCATCCAACAAATAAATATACTAAAATTATGTGAAACATTAAAACAATTGACTCACCACTTGTAGCAAGTAAGTCAGGATACACTCCCTTGCTATCCGGTATCCACATGATTTTAGTCGTTGGATATGGGTGGTCAAATGTACTCTTTGCACTGAATTCACTTGTCTCTTCATCCAAAGATATTATTTGCACCTGATTCAAAGAATATACAATTTATACAAAGATATTTTTAAGGTATTTATTGAACACCATTACAGTGACATCAAATCTAAGGATGATTGGTAAGTTCATTGATTAGAACTGAGCGTTGCTAAGTAGAAAATGACCAGCAGACATTTTTGAACTGGAAATTTGTTCTACAAACTCATGTTAAAGTTTGGTCCCAAAAATTACCAATGGTCACCTTCTGCTTTCACAATCATACTTTGACTTTGGTCCTCAGAACAAATTTTTGCTGCTTCAAGAATGCCCACCAGTTGCTTTCCGCTTGACACTGCTCAATTAGTAAAGAGTAAATAATGACTAATTGAAACTGTATTGAATTACACATATTGTTTATTAAAAAAATATTTTGAATAAAACCAGTTTCAACCGGTTACTTGCATTGATTTTATTTATTTATTGACGTTTGGCATCAATTAGGCCGGATTATATCTCTTGCATGGATTGCGTTGTCGGAATAATAATGTGAAACCTCAATAAATAAATTAAAACAGTGCATCTAACCCGTTGAAACTTATTTTATTTAATGAGTGATGTGCATGAAAACCTAAGAAACAAATAGTATTTTGAATGTTCAAAAAATTGGTGATGGTATTAAAGTCACATTAAAACTTGGGATTCAATTTTACATACCTTATTGTTGTATTCTTCTACAAAGCTGCCAAGTGCAAGTCTGAATCTTTTGTCTGGTCTTACTGACCAGTTCATTGAATATAAAGGCCATGGTGCTTGATATCTGATTGAAAAAATATAAAGAATCATAAATTCTGAAACCTGACTGAAGTCGAATATTTTCTGATTAATATTTCTTTATATTTTTAAATCTAAAAAATCTTAGATGTTTACATCTCCAGCAGATTAATGTTTTAAATAAAAACATAGTTTCCTTATTGTAATATCTATAAAGGAAAATGTAGGTAATATGTTTTAAAATGGAATAATAATAAATATAAAAACTAAAGATATGTTATTAAAACTAAATTTGATAAGTACAAACATTTTTCTTGGAATTTATAATGTTATCATAATTAATATTAAAACATGTTATATTTTTATAGCATTCAACTCAATACCCTGTTATATTAGGTAACATAAAAATTATCTATTAGAGTGACTTGTATTTGTATTATTATTAATGCCAATATAAGTCATGGATATATATCAAAACAAATCAATTTAAATAAATGTTTGATTACGACTAAACAACAACAAATAAATATTATCTTAAATTTGTGTGTTTCATGTTAACTAAAGTTAACTTATAAGTTACGTTAATATTTACTTACTTGTATATTTCTTTGCGTTTTGTACTTGAGCTAGTTGTGCTGGAACTGCTATGTGGCATCGACATTTTTTCAGTACTATGTCCTGAAAACATGGCCACAGCTTTAATTTGCCTAAGCTTTATTGAATATATTGTAAAGCTCGAACATAGATTATTTGTAATCCTTCGTAAATTATCCTTTATTTTTACCTAGTTTCATCATATTTTTATACAACAGGCATCCAATTCATACCTTGTTACACTGATTACACTACGTTTTAAAGTAAGGACACCTTCCAATGTAACAGTAAAAGGTAATTAATTTATTATAATTTAAACGCGCATGTTCAGGCTTTTAAATAATATTTTTTATAAGAAATTGTGTTTTATTTTCTTTGATTCTGACGTGCATGAGCGTGATTTCGGCACTGACAGTGACAGCTGACAGCAAACTTTTTTGTAATATTTTCCTATAATAGTATGCCAAAGGATAATTAGCCCACACAGGCTAGTCTTTAGTATATCCTTTTTTATATTGGTCTTAGTTCTAAGTCTAACGTCAACAGTATTATCTTCATGCACAGTAATGATGTCGATTCTGGCATGATTCTCTAAAGCTAAACTTAAATTTGACAACAGTGCATCCTTGTCCTTCTCTATACAGAATAAAAAGGTGAGACTGACCTTAAATTTAGTTTTAAGTTTAGAGAATCACGCCAGAATTGACACCAATGTCAATTTTAAAAGTTGCAAGTGAGACTGCAATTTTGTTACGCTTCGGTGTATAAGGTATACAATGGTATCGATTCTGGCAGGATTCTCTAAACTTAAAACCCAGTTAGTCCTTTTTATTCTATATAAAGAATGACAAGGAAACTCTGTTGTCAAATTTAAGTTAAGGTTTAGAGAATCATGCCAGAATCGACACCAATGTATATTATAGTTTTCTCATGCTCGTAAAAAATGAACATACTCTTTGAAAAAGAAAAACGAGTGAGCGTTATAGTAGTCGCGTATGATGTGTAACATTTGAAACCTCACCTTATATTAGTAGAAAGCAGAAATAAAACCCATTATATAAGGAATAAGCCATTTGAACATTATGTTCTAAAATCAAATCAAATAGCGCGCGCTTTCGCGACTTCCTGTTACACGCTTCCGTTCCATTTCACCAAATCACTCCACAAATTGCAAGAAAGCGAGAGGAAAGATTTTATACATCAAAAAATCTGAGGGATGGTATGAATTCCAAAAAAATGCATCAAAATTCAATTCGTTGCCTGGCTCTTAAGCCATCTCTTAAGATGGAGATGGAGAAGCATATAGAAGAGTTTATGGCGCGATTTCATCGAGTGCGTTTGGCGTCTTATTTTAATTATAAGTTCGTTCATAGTGGATATTGTGAAATAAAATGGGTGTGATTTTGTGTTACAACCGTCTGCACAACTGAAGAATAAAGGAATCTAAAATATACGCTATTCCGGTCTAGTGGACGTGAGAACTTTATTGTAGTGTTGACTACCTCACAGCAGCTCATCGACAAATCTAACTCGATACATTTCGTGCCGAACACTCCAAGAAACATTAGAATGCATCACACCGACATTCTAATGTAAAAGAAAAGAAGATTAATAAAACTTAGGATCAGACTGTATGAGCATTGTTCCCTTTGCCTTTTCTGAAAAGGAAGAACGGAAAAAAGAAGCATGTAAAAATTGTCTATAGCAAATCAATTGTTATTGTAGAAAAGTGACATCTAGTGATGAACTATGGAACTAATAGAGTCAAATGTTTTCTATTTATACTTAAACTTATACCCAATAGGTGGCTCATATCACATTTATGTGGTGCATTACAAAATTAATAATTCATTAATGAATGCCATTTGCCGCCCTTGAGTTTATGAAAGTCTATCCTATCCTACCAATTTATACTAATATCATAAATGTGAAAGTATATATGTTTCTAACTCAATCTCGCAAAGACTACTGAACGGATTTCGATGAAATATTTTATGACCTGGACTAAGGATACTTTTTATTCCGGAAAAAAAAACGCGGGTTCCTGTGGGATTCGGAAAAAATTAAGGTAACGCGACGTTGTCGCGGGCGGCCGCTAGTGTCCCCATATGTCATGTCCCCCGTGACCCCCAGCCAGTGTTTCCACTTTAATGATTTCCTTTTCCCATGCCTCAATTCAGACTTCCCCTTCTTAGGACATTTATCCCCTCAAAAATTATTCTGCTGTTTGCTTTTTAGATTTGGCACTAGTGTAGTAACTGAAGAAAAAAAAGGTCTTAAACTATCTAATTCTATAACAGATGAATAAAATATATAAAACCTGCACTAGTCCACGGTATATGGTCCATAAAAAATTTGTTCCGTGCCGCATTATTTTAGGCTAGGCTTTACCCATAATTTCGCCTTTTCATGTCTTTCCTTTTTTTCTTCCCCTCTGGACCCAAATTTCCCCTTAAAAGGGGAATTTCCCATCATTGTGGAAACACTGCCCCCAGCCCTCATCGAACAGCATCTGAAATGGGTGAAATAGGGAATAACAGCTCTAGAGCTGATGCGTGTGTACCAGAGCACTTGTGTTGTGTATTATGTTATGCAACAACATGTCTGCCAAGACTATTATAAGAAACTATATATAATGAGAAGACACGACTTGCTTATCTATTTCTTGGTGATAGTTACTTTACAAGGAGTAGTCAACCGTACTTATTAAACATTACGCCCCGTTATAAAGTGTTACCTCGGAGTAAACAAGACGTTACATAAACAATATTAGGGAACAAAATACAGTTTAGGGATCTTGAATTATTTCTGTGACAGGGAAGTGGTAGGGGAGCCCAAGCGAGGATTTTGGATTTGATGATCTTAGTGTAATGCATCCATTCATAGGTACATGATTGAGACGTATATTAATCGTTTACAGCGTCAATTCAACGCGGTTACCGATCAATATTCGATTCAATCATGTAGACTTGAAAAACGTAAGTAAACTACCCATACGTCAATCAATGCTTAGTTGTGGTGTTGTGTTGTATAGTATTTTTCTCAAATTAACTTGGACATAACTTATTATTTTAAATTACAATCGCCTACTTTTCAAAATCAATGACGAACAACAACACTTGTTCATTTTTGTTTTTTTTTCAATAAAAAGCTTTCTTATTGCAATCCAGTTCGAAAAAATGAAACCTTTGATTGGTTACCTCCTTGGTTAAGATGGTTCGGACTTCGATCACAGAAGTTTCGGAGTAGAAGATCGTTCCATTTTTAAATTACAAGACAGCTACGAGTTTGCTGTGTAATTTATTTGGCCCCTAAACACGAGAGCTATGGATTTTCATACAACTTTTTCCGGACGCTGCTCGCATGTCACATACATGCGAGCAGCGTCCGGTCAATACAGCAATTTCGATTTATCGCGAACAACGTTGTAAAAATAATGCTTTAACAAAGCATGTTTAAAAAAAAATCGAGCGTGCTAATGACCACACGGCTGAAGTGAAACTTTTTTAGCTCCATCTGTATGTGTGTTCAATATAGGTATATAATATATACATGTATGTACATATACATATTTCATTTACTAGCTATAAGAGAAAGAAAATGTGCGCGCGCACTGTTTTCTCTTGCTTATATTCCCCACTCAACTCCCGTTCGCTTCACCCGAAAACTTTTTTCGTAACGCATTCGCCAGGTTACCCCCCAAGTCAAGCGTGCGTACAGAAGTTTCACTTCAAAAAGTGTTTTAAAAAGCCTTTTTAATGCTACACTGGTGTCGATTCTGGCGTGATTCTCTAAACCTAAACTTAAATTTGACAACAGTGCATCCTTGTCATTCTCTATACAGAATGAAAAGGAAAGACTGATGTTAAATTTAGTTTTAAGTTTAGATAATCATGCCAGAATCGACACCATTGTCCTCCAACATGTGACCTACTTATGGACTCGCTACATTCCTAGCCAGTCTGTTTGCGCCCATTATAACTGCATAATCCGTTGCGACCTTACCAAGCAGCGCATACGCCGCTGTGCCCGGTTAAGGACATAGCTTTCTTTGTTACGTCAACGCCACCTAAGGGCTTGCGTGATATAATTATGTACTTGCGCAGGAGTGGACTGGAATGTGACCGTAATAAAAACTAAACTGTTACATATCTAGTTTGCTTGAATAGAATTGTGTAGAAGTGAAATTCTATTATGAAGTTCAATTACATTCCTGCATTTATACTTATGTACTCGTTTTAGTAATATCAGTTACTAGCGGCCCGCCCTCGCTTCGCTTCGGTGTAGAGCTGAAGTGTAGACTACAGTTTTTGTTCTCAGGCTTGTATTATTCGCAATGACATTCATCTATGATTCTTCTTATAGCTGCATTCAAAGTCTCAGCCCGATCGGTTTAAAATTGACAAAGTTTCATAGAAACTTTCATTCCCTATTTATCCCCTTGGGGGTAACATTGATCAAAATCTTTTTTTAACGGATGCCTACGTCATAACATCTACCTGCATGCCTTTCAGCCCGATCCGTCCAGTGGTTTGGGCTGTGCGTTGATAGATCACTATGTCAGTCAGTCACCTTTGAGTTTCATATATATAGATATAGGTTGCCAGATGCTGGCTTAACAATTCCGAGACATTTGCACCCCCCCCCCCCCCCCTCTCTGAAAAAATACAGCATCAAATCAAGTCCTCCATCACCCCCAGAATTAAAACATCAATCAGGCTAGCGGTGTCATTCGTTATTAGATTATTTTGTTACGAAACTAGCACATTATCGGAATCCGGGACAACAAGGTCCCGGAATTGATAAGCCAGCACCTCTGTTTATGCTAGTGGCAAGGCAACAGTAACATAATAGAGTAGGTATTATTTAAGTTTCCGTGCTCCAGCTGACAAGTATAGAGCTAAGACCATTGGGAGCTTTACATCAAACGCACCCTTAAATATATTACAAAGAAACTCATTTAAATATATTTTTTGCAAAACATGTCGCCATCTAGTCAATGACATCAAAGCCAAAGCCGACTTCAAAAAAAACGGAGGGGATTTAAAACATCTGAATCTTTTACATAAAAAAAAATCTAACGGAGACAACTTTTAGCGGACAATTTATAATGTTAATCGTTTCAATAACAATTCAAATAAGTGAGACATATTTGTTATAATTGCGGTTATTGACAAATATTATGCGTATACGCATTATCACATATTATGCGCACACGAATCTAACTTGCGGTCAAGGTCTCAATAGTCTAAAATAATAATAGCTTTTGTATGTCCGTCCGTAACTGCCATTCGTCTTATTTTGACAAGCTCTACCCAAAGGCTTTGTTCTAAAAGGTTAAACTTTACGAGTTACCACCAACATATCGTATCGCTATTCAAGATTAGATCAAATCAGTCTCATTCGAAATTGTTCT